GTTTCCAGTGCTGTGTTTGAGCTGGTCACTTGTTTTCAGCTTGTCATGGAGGACATTCAAGCAAACACCCTCGGCCAGAGTATGGCCTCAGAGTGAGGCCCAGAGCCATGTCAGGGCAGAGGCACTTGGCAGGACCTGTCTCTGCCGTGGGCGAGGAGTGACATTGGCATAGGGTGGCCGGGACAGAAGGACATGGCCACTTTGCTCCCCTGCTGCTCCCACTTCCAGGGGATTCCCTGCAGTGGGGCGGGGTGTTCCCTCCACAGCATGGCTGTGGCAGTGGCTGACAGTGTCTCTCCCCACCTTAGATCACGATCTACGAGCTGGAGAATTTCCAGGGGAAGAAGTGTGAGCTGACAGAGGAGCTCCCCAACATCACCGAGAAAGAGATGGAGAAGGTGGGCTCCATCCAGGTGGAGTCTGGCCCGTAAGTCCAGGGTGGGGAGGATGGATCAGCCTCGGGGGAGGTGGGGCAGGGAGAGCATCCCCCCCTCACACTGGGGTCCCACAGGTGGCTGGGCTTCGAGCGACAAGGCTACGCTGGGGAGCAGTTCGTGCTGGAGAAGGGCGACTACCCACGCTGGGACTCCTGGTCCAACAGCCACCTCAGCGACAGCCTGATGTCCCTCCGCCCCATCCAGATCGTGAGTGGGGCTGTCTTGGGGTGGCTGTGCCCCCTAGGGATGGCCACAGCGCTGGGGACCACCAGGCTGGGAGGGTCCCGGGGGGCTGGGGGCAGCCCCTGACCACTGTTTTCCCCCAGGACAGCGCCGACCACAAGATCCACCTCTTTGAGAATGCAGGCTACACCGGGAGGAAGATGGAGATCGTGGATGACGACGTTCCCAGCCTTTGGGCCCACGGCTTCCAGGACCGCGTGGCCAGTGTCAAGGCCCTGAATGGAACGTAAGGACAGGGGGCACTGGGTGCACATGAGGTCACCCCAACAGGGTACTGTCCAGTGGCACCATGGTTGGTCCTCCCAGGGTGGTGGCAGGGAGGCCTGGCACTGCCACTGCCCTTCCCATGGTGCTGCTTGTGTCCTGTCATGTCCCTTGTTCCCTCCCCCCCACCTTTTCCCTGTCCCACAGGAAGTAATGGGGGCTGGGGTGGTGTCCCTGGGGCTGTGTGATGGCTCCTTGCCCTAACCCACTGCCAGAATAATGGAGCTATGGCTCCTTCTCCACCCTGGACTCTCCATCCACTCCCAGCACATGGCATTTCCCACCCGGGCTCTGTGGCTGCAGCTTGTGCGGTGACATTTGGTGACAGGGCAGTGGCCCTGGGCAACATCCCCTGGCTGTGGCAGGCAGAAGCACCAGCACTGCCATGGCCTCTGGGGTGGGATGGGGACAGGGACACTGCCCCCTGTTCCGAGGGGATGTACCTGCTGGGCAGGGGGTGCAGCAGGGCGGGGGGCCCAGCTGAGCACTGCCTCCGTCCCTGCAGGTGGGTGGGCTACGAGTACCCCGGGTACCGGGGCCGCCAGCACGTCTTCGAGAAGGGCGAGTACCGGCACTGGAACGAGTGGGACGCCAACCAGCCCCTCATCCAGTCGGTGCGGCGCGTGCGGGACCAGCAGTGGCACCAGCGGGGCTCCTTCGAGAACAGCTGAGGGCCCCTGTGCCCCCGCCGGGGCCGGCTCACGGGGTGCCCCGGCTGATGCCGTGACCGTGGTGTTTTTTGTGCAAAAACCTCAATAAAACTCTGAGCTGGAGGCTGCCGGGGCCTGCCTGGTCCTGGGTGGGGCCGGGGGGATGGAGCGGGATGACGGGGCAGGGGGGGTGGGATGGGGAGGGGGCCATGGCTGTGCCCCAACACCCCCCGGGCAGAGCAGAGGGGGGAGTGTGTTTGCAGTGTTACATAAAGGCTGCAGCTTTCCAAAAATAACCCCCGGTGGTGCCGCGTCAGGGTTTTTCCAGTGCCTCTGTCCCTTTCCACAGCATCTCCTGCCTGTTCCCAGGGCAGGCGGCCAGTCCCCGTGGCAGGGAGGGGGCTGGGGGGGCAGGGGGGATGTAGGGAGCAGGGGGATGTGCAGAACAGCCACCCCCGGGCAGAGCCAGGCCTATGCACCCCAAAGGGCACTCACCCTAAGTGGGGGTGGCTGTGCCCAGCCCTAGAGTCCTGCAGGGTCCCCAGCCTGTCCCCAGGGAAGGTTCTCACAGCACCAGGGGTTGTTTCTCCGGGGGGATGAACTCTGACATGGGGGCTCAGCTGTTCTGGTGGTGAAGGTGGGGGGCTGGGGGGTGCCCCAAGGTGTTGGTGAGGTGCTGGGCAGCCCAGCCCTGAGCTGCCTTGGCCACCCAGGCAGACCCTTCCCGTGGGGGCAATGGGGCCACGCTCAGGAGCCCCAGGGCTGGGGGCAGAGAGGGGAGATGGGCTCGAGGCCACCTGAGCTCTTCATGCTGGTCCCCGAGCAGCTGCTCCAGAGCCTTTCTCTTTAGTTTCGGGTTGGCAGCTGTGGAAGGCGAGTGTGTGGCCCTGAGAGGCAAAAGCTGCTTCCAGAACAGTCTGTGGGGCTGCCGGGCCCAGGGGGCTGCGGCATCGCCACTGCCCGGGGCTGGGATGAGCTAAACTGTCCTGGCAGAGCCAAGGGAGGGAATCTCTGCCTGGAGTCACAGGAGCTGTGCTGAGCACTGTGTCAGCCCCCCCGCTGGGGTGATGAGGGGCTGGGATGTGCCGATGGTGGCTGGGGGGCAAACGTCCTGCACTGGGACCTGAGGCAGGCTCACAGGAGTCCTGGCTGGGGACCCCAATGCATTAGCCCAGAAGAGGAGGAGGGCAGTGCTGGGTGCCTCTGTGGTGCCACAGTGGGAGGCACAGGGAGGGGAGAAGGACTTGGCAGGGCTGGAAGTGCTGGAGGCTCTTGCTCACCCCCCCAACCTGCCCAGACCTCTCCATGGTGTGGTGGGTTTCTTGCAGAGCCACACGGTCACCTGTGACCCCACATCCCACTGAGACCCCATCACCCACAGCTGGGACTGACCCCCCCACATGTCACTGCAGGCTCTGGTGACAACACTCTGCAGGGTGACCCTGTGTGCAGCCATCCTGGGGGCAGGGGAGGGGGCAGGGATGATCCCGAAGGGATCCTGCAGGGACCAAGTGTGGAGGAGGGAATGGGTCCAGAATCTGTTAACGCTGTGTGACACTTGCTGGGTTGACACGGGGGGATCTAACTCCTCTGGGGGATGAGAGGAGGCTGTGGGTGCTGCACAGCACCCAGGGAGTCTGACAGCTGGGGTATCCCCCATACAGTGAAACCCCTTTGCTGCAGCCACCGGCAGCCCCCAGCCCCGAGGGGCCTCCCGGGTCGGCCGGTGTCGAGACGCCAGAGGAGGGGCTTCACTGCTGCCCTCGACCCCTCAGCTCAGCCCTGGCTCTGCCACCCACCCTGGGCACAGCCTGGGCGTGGGGATGTGTCCCAGGCTGAGCCCCTCGCTGACCTTGGCTTTGTTCTGATGTGAGAGAGGGGCCCCCGTGCTGCTGCTCTCACTGCCCCGTGGGGCTGGGTTGTTTCCCAGGGACCCCAAGAGGGTGGGAGATAAGACAGGAGGAGTCCCCACACTCGGGCTGAGGGTGCTGTCTGGGCATCGTGCCACCAGGGCCAGCTCCTGCCCCTGCCCGCCCCCGAAGGGTCGGTGTCGGGAAGGGGCTCCCGCGGTGCCCCCAGCCCCACCGGCTCCCTCTGCGCTGGCACCGGCGCTGGCACGGCCGCTCCCCTCCCGGGGCCGCAGACGGGCAAAGCCAGACGCTCACCAGGGCTTTGGGGCGCGTTTTATCGCGCATGGAAAGAGCCGAGCTCAGCAGGTTGAGCGGCCCCGGCGGCGGGGCGGCTGTCGGGGGATCAAGTCTCTGGCCCCGGAGCGCCTGGAGCGGGGCTGGCGGGCGCTTTGTTGGCCAGGGCCGCCCCGGCTCTTGGCACGCGTTCGGCTGATGCATGCAAACTCCAAATCTCCTCGCCACCAACCCGACAAAGCGGGTGACTCGAATGTGACAGGTAATGAAATAACTCGGGCTTGGTGCTTGGGCAGACAAAGGCTGCGGCGGATCAGCTGACCCTGGTTTTCATTGGGGTTTAATCCAGCATTCTCGCTTTGAATCAGGCTTTAACTATTTTGTAAATAGTTTTGGCACCACTCTGCTGCAGCTCGGTATAAATTCCACCTCCCTGCCCCAGCCCGTCACTGGCTCAAGCGGGTACTGGTATAACTGGTAAGACTTTGCTATTTATTGTCCTCTCTTTTGCCGTGGCCTCCTCCCGACCCCCAGGGCCGGGGTCCCTTCCCGGTGCCCGCGAGGTGCGGGCACACAGGGGCTGAGCCGGGGGACAGTCCCGTCCCTGCAGCCCACAGCAGGATATCAGGATGTAACCACCCAGCTGCGACTCCGTTTCTTTTTGTCGGGAGTGAGTGGTTTTCACCAGTTTTGGAGCTGCTCAGATCCTGAGTGTCCCGTTGGGCTTGAGGACAAGGGTCCTTCTAAGGGATGACAGTGCCAGGCAGAGCCAGGAGGGCTCAGCAAAGGGTCCTGCAGGCCTGGGCCAGGTTTGGTGTAGGGAGCCCCAGTGCTTGTCCCCGTCACCCCTTCAGGCACCCGTGTGGGACAGGGACTCTCAGCTGGTCACTGGGCAGGGACAGTGGGAAAAGCCTCGACCGCAGGAGCTGGACTCTTCTGGGAATGACTTGGGAATGCCCTGGGCTCACAGTTCCCTGCATTCCTCCGGGCTGGAGACCTTGGGCAACTCCCAAGGACTGGTGCCTGGGCTCTGCCACGAGCCTGGGGAGGTTTGGGGTGCTGAGCATCCCTTAGCATGGACTGTCCCTGGCAACCCCAGCCTGAGCCCATCCTGCCATGAGCCCTGGCCCCAACACCCCTCCTCCCTGGGCAAACTGCACAGCACAGACGTGGGGCTCTGAGCATAGTTCCTGGTGCCTCCTCAGTGACAGATTTTAACCTGCAGAGTTTCCCTCCCAAGGCAGCAGATAACCCAGCTGATGATGGCTTCCGAGCACCAAATGCCAGCCTCCAAGCAGCAGCAAGCCAGCTCTAAGGTCAGTGTGAGACTTCCCAGCCCCCTCACTGGGGGCCCAAACCATCCCCTGGAACACCCCTGGAAGCAGCTGAGCAGCCACGATGTGCCCCTCGCCAGCACCCCCAGCATTCCTGGCTGGTGCCAAGTGTGTCTGGCTGAGGTGCTGAGCTGTTTGCAGCGGGACTAGGGGATGGGGAATGGGATTTTTCTGGCATCTCACAGCCCCAGTGCAGGTGGAGTGGGTGAGAACGGATCAACTATTGATCCCCCCCCACTCCGCAGATGCAGCAGATCTGCCCCCCTGCCCACTGACCCCTGAGATCTGTGCTGAGCTGGCGGCGCTGGGGCTGCCCTTGAGCCATCCCAGTGTGTTCCAGGTGTCTGGCTCGCTCTGTCCCGCCAGTAGCTGTGGTGCTCCAGCCACAGCCTGGATCCCTCAGTGTGACCACAGGCATCCCTCTGCACATGGCACCGGGGCACTGGGATGGTGCCAGCAGGGACTTGTGGACATCCAGGAGTGAGAGCTGCATCCTCAGAAGGATGGGAGCGTGTGCTTGTGCTTGCAGGCTCCTTAAAAGCCTCTGGAATGCAGTTTGGGGGGGCAGTGCGACGTCTGGGCTGCAGCAGACGTGCTGACCTGGTGGCCTGAGAAAGCGTGTGCCTCCTGCAGCGGTGGCAGGGGTGGGGGTGACCCCTGCTCTGAGGTGCTGCTTTCTTCCAGATTGCCATCTTCGAGCAGGAGAACTTCCAGGGCCGCTGCCATGAGCTCAGCGGGGCCTGCCCCAACCTGAAGGAAGCCGGCGTGGACAAAGTGGGCTCCATCCTGGTGCACTCCGGACCGTACGTGTGGGGGGCTGGGGACCACGGGGGGATGTGGGAGGGAGGCAGGGGCTGGGGAAGGAGGGGTCTCCCTGCTGCTGGCACTTGCATCGTACCCGGGGTTTCATTTGGCAAACATCACTGAGCTGCTCACCCAACTCACCCCAGTGGGTGTCTGGTGCCAGTAGGTGAGCAGGGGGTGACAGTGGGTGACAGAGTCCCCTGGACAGGCTGGTATCCTCCCACCCTGTTCAGTGGCAGGGAGACCAGACAAGTGTGGGCATGGGCAGAGATCGTGGTGTTACCCCCAGTTTGGTTTCCTTCCCTTCGGGTACAGGGACAGGTGAGACTGGCACACCCTCGGTGCCCTCTCCCCACCTGCTAAACCTGCATGTGCTCCTCAGGCCATGGGCTCTGGGCAAGGGGGAGCCCCTGGAAAGCACCTGGGGGGTTCCCTGCCTGTGCCCTGCAGCCAGCAGCACTGCTCCCAAGTACAACAGGGCAGCAGAGCACCCTGGTAGGAGCCCAGCCCCATTTGGAACACGTGGGTGATCCCATTCTTCTGTGGGTCCCCAGGGACCATGGATGGGTGGTCACCACATCGGAGCATCCACTCTGGAAAGTCCTGTGGTGCCGCTGCCAGCAGCGACATGCGGGATGGCTGGAGACATCACAGCCCTGCCCGCTCCCCCCTGGCACCTCCCGGGCACCGCGGTGCTCCTCTCCATTTCCAACAGGGATCAGGGGACGTGGCTGGGGGCTCAGCCCCGGGGCGCTCGCCGGGGTCGGTGCCAGATGCCGGTCCCCGCCCCACTGCCCCGTCTGAAGCGCGTCCCCTGCTCTCTTCCAGCTGGGTGGGCTACGAGCAGGCAAGCTGCAAAGGGGAGCAGTTTGTGTTTGAGAAGGGGGAGTACCCCCGCTGGGACTCCTGGACCAACAGCCGGAGAAGCGACAGCATCACTTCCCTGAGACCCATCAAAGTGGTGAGAGCACCCAGACAGCCACTACCCACCCGCCAGACCAAGGTCTGCAGCCAGAAGTCTTCCCCAGCCTTCCCCCGCCCTCCCCAGCCCCGCGGGCGGAGGGGCACCCCCTCCTGCGCACCCTCGCCCCAGCCCTCGGGGCCCGGGGAGCCGTGGGGGGGTCGGAGGGGGCGCGGGGACGGGGGCACTGGCAGGTGACCCCAGAGCGGAGGACGTCTGCTGGTAAGTCTGGCAGTGCCCGCGCAGGCGCCGGCTCTCTGAGCTGGATGGAGGGATGCGGAGCACCCCCGGCATCGGTGGGAGCGGCGGCACATGGTGCCGGCCCTGGCCTCGGTTTCCCCATAGCCCTGGGCTCTGCCCCCCCTGCCCAGTCCCGGGGGCCGGCAGCCGCTGACCCCCGTCTCTGCTCTCCCGGCTGCAGGACAGCCAGGAGCACAAGATCGTGCTGTACGAAAACCCCAGCTTCACGGGCAAGAAGATCGAAATCATAGACGACGATGTGCCCAGCTTCCACGCACACGGCTACCAGGAGAAGGTCTCATCCGTGCGGGTGCAGAGCGGCACGTGAGTACCGGGGCCGGGGGGGGGGGGTCCCGGGCGATGCCAGGGCTGGACAGCCCCGGCCGTGCCGTGCCGGGCGATGTTCGGTGTGTTTGTGACCCCCCTGCTTGCCTTGGCAGGTGGGTGGGATACCAGTACCCTGGCTACCGGGGCTACCAGTACCTGTTTGAAAAGGGGGACTACAAGGACAGCTCAGATTTCGGCGCTCAGCACCCCCAGATCCAGTCGGTCAGGCGCATCCGGGACATGCAGTGGCACCAGCGTGGCGCTTACCACCCCACCAACTAGAGCCCCCGGCCCGTGCCGGGGCGCGGGGAGCGGACCAAGCGTTCCCCCGGCCGCCGCTGTGCCCCCGCGGCCTCGCCTCCCGCCTCCCCCCGTGTGATGCACGCGCTGCCGAAGCAACTCAATAAAGCTTGGAATTTCAAAGTCCCAGCTCTGCCCCTTCATTCCCGGGGCTGCAGAGGGACCCCGGTGTTGCGGTGCCTTTCCTGACCCCGTGCTCCTGGGTGGGGAGGGGGGCCCGTCGCCGCATTCTCGATGCTCTCAGTGCCACCGGCGCTGCCGGCCCACCAAAGTGCCCGGGGAGAGGGAGGTGACCTGGGGCTCAGCGGGAGGGACGGGAGCCGCTCGCCCCCTGCAGACCTGGGGGTCTGGCCCCCGTGCGGTGGCTCCGGGACTCAGCCCTGTCCCGGGGTGCACGGCCAGGGGTGGGGGTCACATCCTGCTGCGGCCGGCAAAGGTGTCCAAGGAGCACCGCGGTGACTGGGAGGATGCCACGACGGCTGCGAGGGGGAGCGTTTGCCCTCTCGGTCAGAGCACCTCCGAGCCAAATAATTGCTTTAGTTATTAGGCACTGGAAGCTTTAATTAGGAATAATGCTTTAATTTAGCAGTCACGGAGCTAAAGGATGATTTAATTATCGTATCTTAAGTCGAGCAAAGGAAGTGGAGGAAGGCAGCCGCACTTGCTTGGCCGGGGGCTCCGTGGGGTGGCAGGGGCAGAGGCGGTGTCGCAGGTGGTGGCGGAGGTGGCCGGGCTCGGTCCCTCCGGCAGCAGGATGTGGCCGTGGCAGCCGCTGTGTGTCACTGCAGCTGTGTGTGGGCAAGAGGGGGCCGGGGCTGCACAGGTGATGGAAACCTGACCGGGGCACCCTGGGCACCCCGTGGCTCCTGCCGCTCTCCTCTCTCGTGCACCGCAGCGCCTGGTTCCGCTGCTTTGGTGTGAAAACCAGCAAAACTGGGAACCCCAGGGAGTCACGGATGCATAGCATCGCCCTCAACAGCTCCCATGCCCGGCCGCCCCGGCGGAGGGGGGGGTTTGCTCCCTAAATCCTCCGCATTCCAGAGGCTTTTCCCCGTGCTCCGGATGAGCGAGCCCGCGGGCGACCAGCCCAGTTCACCACTCGCCAAACGCTGCTGTGAAATGTCAGCTCCTCGGCGAGGCGGGCTTTGGCAGCCGCCGCGCCGCTTCCCTGCCGAAAGCTGTGCCTTTCCTTCCACAGGGGGAATTCAGGATCATCGCAGACGTGAACATTTATCCTGAAAAACGGGGTTTTAGTGGCAGCAGCCGCAGACTCCCCGCGGTGCTGCTGAGGGGAGAGCTCTGCCTGAGGTTGCGTGTTGGTGGGAAACGGCGGCTTCTGGGGGAGCAAACTGCGGAAACCAGCAGCGAGGTGGGGAGCAGGGACCCCCCCAGGCATGGAATCACAGATTCCCAGACATGGAATTCCAGATGGGTTTGGGTTGGAGGGGACTTTAAAGCTCGTCTCGTTCCACCGCCTGCCATGGGCAGGGCCATCTTCCACTAGTCCAGGTTGCCCCAAGCCCTGTCCAACCTGGCAACTGGGGACCAGGGCAGTCTCTGTGGGAACACGGAGCCCGGCTGCGAGCAGGGTGGGGGGTCCTGGGGGAAAAGTACTGAAAGCAGAAGTGGAAAATGTGAATAAGCTCAGAACAGCTCATATGGGACCTGTCGGGGGGGGGGGGGGGGAGGAAATTCCTCATTTGGTGGCTGGGTGGACCCAGGTGGGCGCCCTCGGGTCACCTCGAGGCAGCTTTAGCTCTGCCGAGGAGGGTTTTTCCGTCCCTGGCTCTGGGGAAAATATGCTGGAAGATTTTTTTTTTGTTTTTAATTTTATTCAAAAGCAGAAGATCGCCTCCATCCCACGCACGCTGCAGAGCTGCCATCTGGCTCGCTGCTACCCCGCCTCAGCAGCTCGGAGCCCCCGGCCCCCCCAGCCGGTGTCTCTGTCCCCTCCCTCCCCCTGCCCATTGCCCCTCGCTGCCGGCGCCGGGGCTGTGATATTTCGGCGGTCTCACGGCGCTGTGGCGGGTGGGTGGTTTTGCCGCCGTGCCAGTAGTCGGCAGAGCTAAAGCTGTTCTCCAGGCTAGTGAAAGGATTTTTTCACCCAGCAAACAGGATGGGGAGGCTCAGACCTCATCGCCACTGGCCGTGCTGGTTCCAGCCTCCCGGACGGCCGGTTCCTCCGGTACCCACGGTGGCTGGGTCGGGCAGTGGGACCCCCGGGACCCACGGCAGGTGAATTCCCAGCAGAGCGAGGGCCTGCCTGCAGGGGAAGAGCAGAGATTTGCCATGGAGTAATTAATGTGAGGGTAAAAATAATGCCAACCCTGGCTAAATCACACCCGAGATTGAGGTGCCTTTTCCTTCCTGTTTTCTTATCCAACTTCAGCATCACCCGTTGTCTGTCCTCAGTGGGGACCGTGGCTGACGCGGGGTGGGCTGGCTGGCAAGGAGGAGGCAAAGGCAATGAATAGATGAAGATGTGCCAGTGGGCTTCCACCGGCTTTGCTTTGCTTTTGCCGGCAGCAGCCCGGGAAATCCCGCCTAGAGACACCCCAGGTTGGGGAATCATGGGCTAAAAATCAACAGTTGTAAAAAATATAAAATGCTTATTCTTAGGCACAGTGGGAGCAGCTCGATCTCACCTGCAGCCTGGTTACTTTGTGTACTGAGTGTGCCCTGCCAGCTGTGAGGGCTTTACTGCGAGTTTCATGGATTTTTATGTGAAAATTATTGTTATGTTTAATCCTCCAGCTTCTGGAGCCACGTGATTACATGAGATTCTTAGCTTCAATTTTTTTCTTCTTTACATTAAATTGAGCCTCCAGCCTCCTGTTTGTGCCTTCACGCACAGACGCAGCCACAGACACTAAAGGCTTAAGGAAGGAAGGAAAACCAAGCAGGAACCCAGCATGTATTATTAAAGCCTTGTGGTTTTCAGGGCAGAATTGTGATTTATCGATGCTCAGCTTTGGCATGTTGAAAACTAATCTCTGCTCTGATTAATGCAAGAGCTGAGGCAGGAGTGAAATATCCGGGGAGAGAGGAGCTTCAGCGGGGGACGCCGAGCTCCGGCTGCCCCCGGGAATAGGCAGGAGCAGGGCCGAGCAGGATGCTGAGCTCCCCATTGCTGCTGAGCTCCCCATTGCTGCTGCACCTCGTTTCCCTCTTTTCTGATTAGAGAAAACATCTGGGGAGAAAAAGCAGGTGCTGCAAGCGAGGGGCTCTGTTGGGCGGGGAGGACCTGCTGGGCAGTGGGTCTCTGCTGGTGGCCGGGGGGGGCACCAGGAACTGGCACCGTGCCATGAGCAGAACCTCTGCTTATTATAGCCACCAGTTTTAATACTCAGATGTGAATGGTGAGTGGGGGGGGGGTCAAGAAATTTTTCCATTTCGGGCTGTGAATGCTGCAGCCAAACCCCAGGATTAGCAGTGAAAAGGGAATCAGCCGGGACTGGTGGCTGCTGGGCACTGGTGCAGGACCCTCTGGCATCACTGGGCCAGTGCCAGCCCAGAGTGCGGCTTCACCCGTCTCACAGGGGCCGTGCAGGGCAGCGGGGGAGAGCTCTGGGTTACGGGCAGAGGCAGCACCAACCCTGTCCAGCAACTGGTAAGACAAATGATCCCCTCGTGGTCCCTGGGCTCTGCGACCGGGGCTGATGGATGCTCTCTTCCGGAATGCCAGGCTCCCATTTGCTTTCTGCGCTTTGTTTTTGTTCCTAACATCAGTGCAACGAGGGAGAAAAAAAAAAGGAATGAAAGCTCTACAGCTCCTTTCAGACAGTAAAAGAAATCCCGTCCAGTTGAAAAGCTAATTAAGAAACATCACTTCTTCAAAGGCCAGAATTGGAAACAGCCGCGTGGAGACATAATGGGATTAACGTGGATCAGGGGATTACAGGCGGCCAGGACAGCGACGCTGCGGCCCCACACATCACCACTGGCCCTCGATGGTGGAACAGGACAAAACCAAAACACTTCAATAAGATGAAAAGCCAAAGGGATGCGCTGGGAATAATGAGTCGGCCGTGGTGAGGGTGAGGAGCTGGGCAGCCCTCGGCCCCCGGCACAGCGGCTGCAGCCGCCCGGGTGCTGTGGGACGGGGCTTCGCATCCGACGTCTTTCCCCAAATACACGGAAAAAAGCAAATGCTGCCTTTCCCTCTGGGCGAGCGGCCAGGGCAGCCCTGATTGCTTCCTTGTCCCGCCGCAGCCGGCAATTAACCCTCAGCAATGGCCAGCGGTGACGGCGTGACCCCTCCACCGAGCCCACGCACCCGGCCGGGGTCACTGCCAGTGCCGCGGGATGGAGAACAGCAGCTCGAGGTGGGGCAGTGGAACAGGAGCAGCCGTGAAATCCTTTGAGGCTGTAAAGCCAGCAGCAGGGACTCGCCGTCAGTGTCAAAGGAATATTGTCCCTGTTGGAAACCCCTGGGCAGCACAAGTGCCAATTAGGAAACATCTGTTCCTCCTGGTCCAGGCGGGCTGTGAGCGAGAGCATGGCAACGTAATGGGATTAAAATATATCACCGGATTAGGGCAGTGCTGCGCAGATCAGCGGCCATGGATGTTCTTAGGAAATCAGGGAAAAAAGGAAAAGCAAATTTGTCTCTTCAACATGGACATGTTTCTTTTTTACTTGTACCTTATGTACTGGTGCCAGACCTTCTCTCTGCACTGTTCAGTTCAACTAAAAAGACAGCCTGAGCTGAGTTTAAGCAATTTTAGATGAAATGGCTACGTGAGCAGCTGGTCCCTCTGGTTTTCACTGCTGCCACTGTGGCTGTGGCTGCAGGACAGGAAAAGTGGCCTTACCCGGGTTCCTGGGGTATAATATAGTGCCTGTCACCTCTGTACGGGTTGGAAGGTGTGTAATGAGCTGGATTTGGTCCCTTTGGCAGAGCTTTGGGGTCCAGTGGTGGTGGGAGGCTGCAGCAGCAGGGCTGTGTCTGGAGCATCCCTTCGAGCAGCAGCACAAGATTCTTTCCCTCAGACCGTGTCCTCTGCTCATAACACGTGGCCTGCACAAAAACCCTGAGCAAAGCATCAAGAAAGATGCTCAAGGTAGGGAGAGAAAAATGATCAGAGGAAGAGAGAGGCCTGTATCATACCCCACGGCCCCTGCTCGCAGTGTGCAGCCCACCCGCCCCCTCCTGTGCATGGGGCCACCCCGGGCTCCCCCATCGCTCGCATCCTGGGCACAGCTCGGCTGGTTTGGGGGTTCCCATCCCTCCTGCCACCCCACCCAAGAGTTCTACCAGCCATGGGGCACCGCAGCCCCGCAGACAATAGGGACATTCTTCAGGAAACCAAACCAATAACGCGGAGAGCAGCCCGCTATTTTGGGACTTCATATGCTCTAAGGCAAATGTCATTGGTGTGTAACATCCATTTAGGGAGCTGCGTAATGAAGTCGTGCATCATGAGGAGGGACCTGCTCGCTTAGCAACCTTCTCCGTGTGTGACGTCTTCCCCTGCAGGACGGGATTGCTCCTTCGCCAGCCCCAGCACAAAATGCCGCTCACAGCTGCCGTAAGAGGCGCTTTGAACTCAAAGACTCTGCAGCCCCCACCAACACCGAATTCCTGAGGTGGGCTTGTGCCCCCGGTCAGAGCCCAGGCAGCCTCTGTGCTGTGAGGGGTTTGGGTGCTGTGAGCCCCTGACCTACACCCGTATCTGCGTGTGTTGCCTTCCCAACAGAGCCCTCGGCTCTCTCAGGGATGGAAGAAGCTGGGGTACTGTGAGAGGGACAGAGCCCTTTCATTTTGGGGGCTGAACAGGACAGCTGACACTTCAGTTCCCATCGAGAGCTTCCTCACTGCCGTTCATGCCGCTGCAGATTTTGGATGTGTCTCACGGGGAGGCAAGTGGGTGCAGGGGTTCACTGGGTGTACTGGGCATACTGGGTGCTCTGATGTTCCGTGTGCATTGGGTGTTCTGGTGTGCTGGATGTACTGGGGTGCTCTGGGGAGTCTGGGTTTGCTGGACACTCTAGGTTTTCTGAGTGCTCTGGGCACAGGCCGGCAGCAGGATGAGGACAGGGAGGGAGAGGACGGCTGTATCGCACAGAGGGAATGTCTGTCCTGGCTCTCTCCAGGTTTCCGGATGATAAGCAATTATGGGAGAGATTTACAGCAGATTAAGTCAGAAAGCAAAGTCCATTATCTGCCCAGATGAGCTCCAAAGGTAGAGGCCGTGTGGAATGAGAAATGGGGCACTTTAACCGTTACCATCCCTCTGGGCACCGACCTGGGCTCCGGAGGACAATGGCTCTGCTCCTGCGGGGATGGTGGCTGCTGCAGATCCACACGCTGCCATTCCCTTCCCACAGTAACGGCATTCTGGTGCCTGAATTTGCTCTGATTCCCTTATGGAATGCATGTTGCTTCTAGGGGATCTGCTACTCCCTTCCACTGGAGGTGCCTCTTCCAAGCCCCCAGGGTCAAGCTGAGCTGCAGATGCTAAATCCATGGGAATGCATTTTAGCAGAAAGATGCTTTTGAGGTCACTGAAGGTTTATTCACTGTGCTTTTTGATGTGTAAATCTCTCTGTGCATTGTCCCTGTTCCCCCCCGGCAGGCTGTCCTGGGGGACCTGCAGCCACCGGGTGGATGTGCCCACTGACTCACCCATGGACAGCCCCGTGGCCACTCCCACGCGCCTTGGGCAGTGGCCTCACTGGAACCACGTTCCCTCAGCTGTGAAATGAAGGTAATTTACTGGTGTGCTTTACAAGGGCACTGAGAGAGAAGATTAATTGTTTGGCATATGGGACTGCAGATAGGATGGGTTATGATCCTGCAGATCCTTCTGTTTTGCTGTTTGCATGTGCAGCGGGAGCACAGCTCTGCTCCACAGGGACCACGGGCTCCTTTCCCCCATGGCCTTTCCCACAGCCTCACTCCAGACCAGACAGCCATGGATTTGGGTGCTGGCACAAGGGCAGATCCAGAACCCTAGGGATGGCACAACTGGTGGCCCTGGTGACCTCGAGCCCGACATGCAAAGGGCAGCTCAGTCCCAGCATCTGCGTGTGGGGTGATGACGCAGCCAGAGGCACCGGCTGCCACATGACCCTTTGGTGTTGGGATTAAACTTGACACTTAGAGCCTGAAAATCTGCTTAAGGGAAAGCTGGCATAAATCTGAGTGTCGCCAGGACATGCGTTGCGGACTGGGGTCAGACCCCTCCCTGCACCCTGGATAATGCCAGGCTGGTGCCTGTGGCCGTTGTCCCCACGGGCTCTACCCACAGTTGGCACAGGGGGACACCCCTCTGCACATCCCACAGCCCCCGAGAGAAAACTCCTGGTGTGGGATGATGCCAGGGGCCTGCAGATGGGCAGCAGCTATCCCTGCCATGGCCAGGCCCTGGCCCTTCCCTGTGGGAGGGGGGTCCCTGGTGACTTTGCCCCCTCAGTCCCTGGGGATGCAGGACTGGAGCCCCACCACACTCCTGCTCCCTGCTGGCTCCTTCCTGATGCAGGTGCTTTCCTGAGAATCGCCTTGCCCTGTCACCAGCTCCCGTCCCTTGGCATCTCTGCAGGAGCTGTGCCCCAGCTTTGCTGGCCCATCACCTTTCTGGGGTGCTCCTTCCACTCCCTCTGTGACAGTCCTGGGGGTGTTAGCTGCAGCATCAGGAATTCTGGGGGAGAGGCAGTACCCTTGCCTGTGCTGGTGGCTCTCGGGTGCAGCACAGCTCCTCTGGGACCTTGGGACAGCAAAATGAGTTGTCACTGTCATCTCCCACCGAACTCGAGCAGGCAGTAATGAAGGCTGCTGAGCACACACTTCTTCCTAAATTACTTTATTTATTCAGGGAATCAGATGCCGCAGTCTTTCATGGCTTCTTGTGAGGCTCGGATCTTGTGGGATGCGAGGCTATTAATAGGAGCCAATCTTTCCCCTTCTTCTTCTCCAGGCTAAAGGCAGAAGAATTCAAACAAGGGCCCTTTTGATGTGACAGAAGTCCAAATAAACTCCACGCCATTTTCATCTCAAGCTGGCAGCACATTCCCATGTTTCTGGTGGGGTTTCCCTGGGTGAGGCTTGGACCTGCAGCACCTGGGTGCCCTGGAACCGGGCGCGGGAGGTGGAGGAGCAGTCTGTGGTGCCCCTTCCAGTGACACTGCCCTTGTCTGTGGTGACATCAGGTGCCCAGAGCCAGCACAGAGACCAGACGGGTGAGATTGGATCCGGGTGAATGATCAGCCAGGGCAGCAAATGCCAATTTGCGTGTAAACAGACTGAGCACAAAAAGCCAGGGAAGAGAAATAACTAGAAAGCATTTACCACATAACAGACTTGTTTCCAAGGAGCAGATTTTGAAGGTTTCCCGCAGGCAGCCTCGCTGGCGCTCCAGGGGAATTTCAGTCCCACACCCTCCAGCTTCTGACCCGCTCCCACTGTGGTGGGTTTGGCACCTCCCCTGCCAGAACGAGCCCTGCACTATCCCAGAGCTGACCATGTCCTGATCCACTTCTGTGGTGGGCAGTGAAAATCCTGGGAGAGCAGGGCTCTCGTTTTCAGCACTGCACAAGTTACCTTCCATGGACACTGTGACAGAATCTGAATTACCTTCTACCATTTCAATATCTGCAGTTGTTGGTTTTTCTGCTTCTGTCCATCAAAATTTATAGCTAAATTAGGCAATTATTGATTTTTTTCCCCTTTATCGAGTTACATTCAAGCCAGCCTGTGGAACAGCAAATGCTCAATGGGTCCCTCTTGACATCTGTTTGTCTGATCAATCTGTGCAGGGAAAATGCTCCTTCAGTGCCCACTGACATCTCCACAGTGATGAACAGGAACACTTTGATTTTTTTTTTAAGGGCTTTGAGACATTTGCCGTTCCAGTTCTTTTCGGGTTTATTTGTTTTAATGTGTAACAACACACTCCGTTGTTTTTGTTTGTGGAGTTCTTGAAGATGTGTCAGTCCTGAGCTGGGGGATGCAAGGAAGGGGCCCTGTGACCCAGGAGGGTGGTCTGTGAAGGGTCACTGCCCACTGTACCTGGCTCTCATCAGGCACCTCTAACCCTGTGAACAGGGCTGTAACAAGCCCCTCCACCAAGGACTGAGCAAGATGCCATCTCCATATCATGACAGAGCTCTGAGGACAACCACAGGTGGAGATTTAGGTGTGAAAATGGCTCAAACTTCTCCTTGGGCCCTCCTGCCCCATGACAATTCCTGCAGAGCGGCCCAGGTGGGTTCAGTGGGGATGCACCAGGTGATGCTGCTTAAGGAGCAGAACCGGGGCTGGGTATTAATGCAGGTCTCTGGCTCTGCCCTCCTTCTGGAGGGTGTTTCATACCTCCAGTGTTGTCCCTGTGCTTCCATGGGTCACCCTGGCTGAGATGGTTTTGGCATCGCTGGCTCTGTGACCCGGCTCATCCACATGCTGCTCCTGTGCTTTTGAAGCTTGCACTAGCCAGGTGAGAGGGTGATGCTTCTTTATTTAGCTGTGTGCGTGGTGGGAGGGGAAAGTGTTTCATCACCACACTCAGTTTTAGTACCATCCCTGTGTGTGCTTTGAAGGGGTCACAGCCGAGACTTCCAGGCTGCAGCTGGCAAGGCATGGACTGAGGAGGGAGGCAGCACCAGGACATGGCTATGTGGCGTGTCAGGGTAAGAAAATGTGCTGAGGAAAATGTCAGAAAGATATTTTTATTACAATAACGTGATGCAATTGCAAGTGGGGGCCCGAGACCTCTCGTGCCTGTGTTTTCTCATGCAAGACTTTATAGACGTTACATGACTTTCAACTCTGCTCTTATCTCTGCCCCCAGAGGACATTATTACTGCTAGTCTGACTATGCCAGTATGAATGTTTGATGGTGAATAATATTTTTGAGAATTGAATTACCACTTGTTTCCTAATTAAAACCCAACCTCCTCATCATGTCAGCTATTTGCAAAAAGGAACGTGATGATGATAAGCTACACCGAGGCTTTACCTTTCTGAGGTGGCTGAAGTACCTTTGTTAAGAGTATTCAGGAGAAAGCTGGAGGAATCTGTGGAGATGCAGGGGAGCCACCATGTTTCTCCAGGAGGCTAAAGCTGCGGAACTCCCCTTCCCTGGAGAGTTAGGGTGCCTAATGCGAGGGCACTGCGAGGGCAGAGGCTTCTTCTGTAAAACTGCTCCTTCTGGAATAGACAGTGACTAAAAGCAGCAGCAGAAATGGCCATTAATTACTCTATTTGTTTTCCACATTGCCTCTCACTGCTTATTAGCGCAGCATTAGGGAGATGGGATGCAACCTCAGCCTGGGTGCGGATGCTGCAGAGGAATGCCTGTGGGATTGGCATGGACTGTGGGAGGAGAGGGGCCAAAGCCCCCCCGGGGCATGGCAAAGCAGAGAATTTGACAGGCAAAGGGGGCAGAATGAGGCTGTTTCCTTGGGATGTGGGGCTAACACCATCCCTCTCCGCCGTGTCCACTCGGCTGAGTGCAGTGGGGGTGAGGTTGACTTTGCTGCAGGGAGGGATGGGGAGGGATGGCATTGCCCCACTTTTCCCAGGAATAGTTTGTATTTACTCTTCTCCTACTGAGAAGTGCCTCTGGGCACTTCACTGTTGCTGCCTAATGAATCCTCACACAACCTCGTTAAGCAGGAGCTGCTTCCCCTCCAGGTAACCCTGCACTCAGGAGCTGATTTGGAACACTGGGGAGTGTGGTGAAAGGGGTTCTGCCCTCTTCCCTTCATTCAGGCACCCCAGACAATACTGCCAGAAGTGGAGGAAACATCAAAACATAACCTTTCTGCTTGGCTATAAACAACCCACAGAGTCTGGTCCAATTGGGATCCATCACTGATAAACTGTCTTCCCCCGGTGCTGCCAGGGAAGAGCAAGGAACTTGCTCTCTCTGTAGACAGCAGTATCCCATGGAGGGAACTGAGATAAACACTCCTTAATGCTCTTAATCTCAGCCTATGAGCATTTTGGGTAACACATGATAAATATTAGTAAAAATAGTACTAAAAAGTAGAATTTAATAATCTTCTATGTGTACGTTCCCCTCGAGGTATGTTATTGGCATTAGCCATGCATAGAGCAGGGATCTTATTTGATATGGGATCGGCCACAAGGAGGGCAGCAGGATGGATGTGCCTCTGTCCTGGTGTAATATGTTGCACCATTGTCTGGATGGGATGGTGTTAATGCAGGATGCACTAATAAACGTATGATAACCTCATTACTGTCTGTAACATCATCTGTCATCCTGTGAAGCAGAGCAGGGCATAATTAAACATTTAAATTTTACACAGATGATAGGAGGAACTTGCTCCTTGGAAGGAAGGAGCAGCAATGGGAGGTTGGTTTCTTGGCTCTGAAGTGGTTGCACATGAACCCTGGCACTCCAGCCCAGCCAGGCCTCAAGACAGGCTTAAACTGATTGAGCAGTATCAATCACCATCCACAGAAATGTCAGGAGATACTTAAATGCATTCAGAGTGTACCGTATTCTGACCTCTGCTAACCCTGGCATCGATTAACTCTGGGTTTCCTTTACCTGGGGGAATCCCAAGGCAGGCATAAAGCACTGTTTATAAACACATGCAAACACCAAAACCAACACACACGGCATAAAACAACACAAAAGAACAGCACAAACATGGCCTGGGATATAACACAGGCTAAAGAAAACTGCAGTCTTGCACTTGGGGAGTTGAATTTCCCTGCAAAGGAGGAGGCTGGCACTGCCTGTTCTACTTGTTTTGGCTTCCACTTGATTCCACTCTGTAATTAAAAAATGCTCATCCCAGTGACCTTGAAAATACTGGAATATATCACTAAAAAAATATGTATTTTACACACTAGAGGTGTTTACACATTGGAGGTGTTTACATGCTAGAGGTGAGCATGAATAGCCAGAGCTGTGCTGCCTCCCCAGCCGGCGCCCAGGGTGGCTGCGGGGATATTCCACTACCTCCAACTGCACTGCAATCACACTTGGGAAATAAATGGTGCAGAGAACACCTTTTCTTATAACCCACCTCCACTCTGGTGCCAGCTGCTGCTGCCACATCAGCACTGATGGAAACCCAAAAGCAGAAAGAAGAAAACAAGTTCCTTAACTTGGTTGGCTGTCTTCCTGACTTCCTAGAAACTGTCAGCAGGAACGTCTTTGATGTGTGCACAACAATAATATCCAGACAAAAAGGTGAAAATGTAGCACAGGAATAAATAGGAGAGCACTGGGAATCCTAAGTGGCATTTTGGTAACTCCTATTGCTGTCACCAGCACAGTAAAGCCATTTAAATATCTCAGCAAACCTGGGCCCTCCTCCTCTGGGCAGAGACGGTTTGTTTGTCTGTGCTTGGGGTGTTTGGCAACACCGTCAGGTGAGCAGTGAGATCCTCCTCGTGGAGCTGTTGCTTCTGCAGGGTCACGTTTCAGGAAATGAAACCCAGCTCTTTCCGTGGAAATATCAGTGAGTGATGGGCAGAGGGGCTGCAGGAGCCAAACCCTGGGAGTCCCCTCGGAAGAGCTGGCAAAAGGCACGTGTCTGCTCACGTAATCAGGCTAAGGATGTGGTGAGGGTGGCAAACAGTTACTCGTGGCTAAACAGAATATTCCTTAGAACAGCGGAGCCAAACACTTTTGGACCTGTCACTTGACAATGCCAGCCTTTCTCATCAACACAAACATTCTAAAGCTCTAAAATGATCCCACAGATGAGGCACAGACTGTGGGTTTTGCCTTGGTGGATTACCCTAGAGCAGAGACCATCATGTGTACTGATGTATTTACATGTATTCTGATGTACTTATTTAATTAGACAGTAATTCTGCAGGTGTTAATGGGAGTGTGCAGCTGTAGGAGCCTGGATGGCTTCACAGCCACAGTGGGACCTCTCAGGAGTGGAGGGTTGAGCAGGACTGCTCTGCCAGGCTCAGGGAGAGGCACCATGGAAAGGACTTGGAAAGGACCTGAAATAATCATGTCTGGGGGCAATCTCTCCCACCACAGGCCTGCAAGTGAAGAGCCCATGCAGAGGCACTGGAATAAACTTTGCAGTTGGAGCTGTGAGTCTGAGCTGAGCCTGAGGAGTCACAGGAACCGTGTCACGGCCCACAGCCAGCCCCAGCATTCACTCCCAGCCCAGAGGATTTGAAGAGATAAAAATACCCCTTTCCATCTCAGCTCGGCTCAGTGAAACCTTTAAACAGGGCTGGTGGGAGACTTCACCCTGAGCAACCAGGAGGGACACGCCCCAGGTTCTTCCCCGTTTCCTTCCACTCATTTGGACACCCTGAGCCTCAGCTCTGCTCTGTGGCCACTGGAGGAGAAGAAACCTTCCCCAGTGGATCTGTTCAGGTGAAAAATGTTGGCCTAAATTAACATTTTTAACAAAAAGCAGGTTCTCAGACGGTTCATAATGAGCCACATGGTGAAATCCTCCCAGCTGTATACTCTACCTTGCTTTAATCAGATCATTAACTTTCATAAAGATGTAGGCAGGAGGAGTGGCGGCACTTGAAAAGAGCTCAAAACATGCTGAGTTTCAAACTTCAGACTTGTCATTGACTTAGCCTTTCATTGAGCCAATTATTTATGACATATTTGACGAAATTCAGAAAAGAAGGCAGTTGAAATCTGCATATCTGCTTGGCTGCAGTGGAGCTACTACTACATTAAGGAGGAATACGAGCGGGGAGCTCTGCTGGAGCAGAGGACACCTGGGTGCCTTGCTTTGCATGATTATTTGCCTGCAAGCGGTTCAATGAGCAATAATGGGGTGTCACACAGATGAATTTGTTTGCATCCTGTTTTTCTTATGAATATGTTTTAATAAACTATGAGGAAATTAATTCTAAAGATACGCATTTGACTGGGTACTGATGTTTGCAGGCAGCCATCACACTCCTCGCCCCATGTGCTCGGTGTTGGCTCTGGTGTTCCCCTTCTGCAGAACCAAAGAATCACAGAGTGCTTTGGGTTAGAAGGGGCCCTTCAAGATCATTTAGTCAACCCCCCTGCCATATCCAGAGACACGTTCCACTAGCCCAGGTTGCTCCAAGCCCTGTCCAACCTGGCCCTGGACACTTTCTGGGATGGGGCAGCCACAGCTGCTCCGGGCAACCCGTGCCAGGGCCTCCCCACCGTCACAGGATGGAATCCCCCACCGTGTCCGAGACCCCGAACCCCGAGACCCTCGCGCTGCCCTCGGGGGCCGGGACCGTCTCCTCTCGGTGCGGGGTCACCCCGGGCCGCGGCCGCCCCGTCCCCGGGATCCCGGCGGGCGCTGCCCCGCTCCGGCCCCCCCCCGCCCGCTCCATGGCCGGATTTCCCCGGTAGCGCCGGGCAGCCCCGGCCCGCCCATGGCCGCCGAGCGCGCCCCGAGCCGCTCGCGCGGGGCCGCGCCGGCTGCGAGCGGCGGGGGCGGACCGGCCGCCGCCATGGGCCCGGCGGGGGCGGGCGGGCGCTGAGGGGGCGCGGCGGGGGTTCCCTCCTTCCCTCCCTCTCTCCCTCCCTCCCTCCGTCCGTCCGTCCCTCCTGCCGCCCGCCCGGGGCGCAGGGCGGGAGGCGGGAGCGGCCCCCGCGCTCCGCACACGCGCACCGGGAGCCGCTCGGCCGCACCGGCGGAGCCGCCGCCGCCGCCCGCCGCCAACCCCCGCCCCGGGGGCGGCTGCCCCGGCGGAGCCTCCATCTGCAGCCCGGCGGCGGAGCGGGAACATGGCGGACCTGGAGGCGGTGCTGGCCGATGTCAGCTACCTGATGGCGATGGAGAAGAGCAAGAGCACCCCGGCGGCCAGGGCCAGCAAGAAGATCACCCTGCCCGAGCCCAGGTACCGCCCGCCCCGCCGCGGCCCCGGCTGCGCGGCCGCCCCGGCCCGGCCCCCCGGCCCCCTCCCCGGGGCCGCACATAACGGTCCGGCCGTGCCCGGGCACCGCGGCCTCCGAGGCACCGGGTCCGGCCGGGGCGGGCGCGGGGCCGGGCTGGATGTGCTCCGTGTGCGTGCTGGATGTGTTGGGTGTTTTGGATGTGCTGGATGTGTGTGTTTATTTGGCACAACTTCTGCGGGCGTCCCTCGGGCGGCTTAGCGGGGGATACCCCGCTCTCCGGGGATGAATCCCCCGAGCTCGGGGCTTTGTGGATCCCGAACCCGGTGCTCCGTCCAGCGGGTGAGAAATTCTGTCTAAATCAACCGGTAGCACCAAACCGAGCCGCTCTGGCCGTGTTGCTCTGCAGAGCGATTTTTTTTGGTGATGCTTCCTGAGGTTTGACAGGGGCTGCGGGAGGAGGACGGAGCCGAGGTCTCCCTTAGCAGGCAGCTCACGGAGCAGAGGTGCTGGGGCAGGTCTGGACTCCCTCGCCCCGACCTTCCCCGATCTCACCGCGGGAGCAGACGGGTGCCTTGGCACAGCTGAGGTTGTTTGCTTAGCGCCTGGTGCTAAAAGCAGCTTTTCGTCTGAAAAAACAGCTTTTTTCCCCGGTTATGCTTGTGTTATAAAATCACCTGAGCATCGCTTATTTATCGTTGAAATTAAAACTGAGCTTTCCCTCTCTTTCATGGCTCTGGATGTGTATATGTATATTAAAAATGAAGATTTAGCCAGCAAACGAAATACTGCAACAGGAAGAATCTAAACCGAATTTTACTGCAGAATGTGTAGGCAGTTTGGAAGCCTGCTGGTGGCCTAGCCGAGCTGTCTGCCGTGAGCCAGGCATCGCTGAAGCCCTCTTCCCACTTCTACACTCATTTTCGTGCCTTTCTGTTGGAATGCTGGGTAGGACAGGGAGGCTGTGGATCAGGGGAAGGTGAAGGGTGCCTAGCCCCCCTTGCAGGAGCCCTGAGACGTCAGGTAAAGAAGTTTTGCTGTTGAGTTTAAGGTCTGGTTGAGGATGGTGTTACTGGACAGACAAAGGTGCCCATTTTTCTTCCTGGTATGTGTTTACACTTTCAAAAATAATACAGTATCCATAAATTTTTGCCTACCCTGTTAGGCTGAGGTACAGCTTTGCTGGGGGTGCTGGTGGCTTCACATTTATCAGTGCTTTGGTGATGTCAGTTCTGCCGTCAGTGATGTGCAGCAGTGCTGTTCCCTGTTCCCAGCAGGGACATGACCCCTCTGGGCAGGTGAAGGGTGGGATGTGGAGGGTGTGCAGGGGAGGAATAGTCCTTCCAGTGCCATGAGAAATAAGGACACCATTGGCGCTTGTGGGGAGGCTGGAAAGCTGTTGTCTGGACTGACATCCGTCGTGCCCAGCGCGGGGAAGCCTTGTAGCACAGCACGAGGCCCGAGGAACCTGCTGTGCTCTACTCTCCTGCTCCAGTTTTTGCCTTGTCTCAGTGGTTGTTTTCCTGAGCTTGGAGAGATGGTTCACCTGCATTTGGCTCGGCAGGGTGGGAAATGCAGCCACGTGCCAGAGGAAATTTTGTGGAGCAGGGGAGGAAAGGTGAAGGTGAAATGCCTCACTCCTAGAGCTGCCTGTGGAAGAACCTGTTTGCATGAGATAGTGAAGGAAAAGGATGGTTTGCCATCCCCCTGGGCTGTGGTGCTCTGCAGAAGGTGAGAAGCCATCTGTGAGTCCATGGTGCTGTGGGATGGGGACATTTCAGTCACTCAGCACCGGAGTGGGAGGAGACATAACCGAGAACAGAGACTTGCCTCAGCCCGGGACCACAAACGGCTGTAAGATGCTCAAAATGACTGAACTTCTGAGCTACTAACTGAAACCAGGGATTTCCTCATACAGTAGGAAATTGTGACCGTTATTCTGGTGTCAGATACCTTCGTGCTGCTTTCTGGCTGGTTTTTTTTTTGATCCCTCTCATTAGAGCAGACATGGTGTGTTGGGTTTACTGAAATATTCTGTGTTGCTGGTGAAGTGATTCATTTAAAATGACATAAATCGGCTGGTTAAAGGCAGGTTGATATAGTAACAGTAAAAAAAAATACAACACACAAGAGTCCTCTCTTACATGAGTTTGAAATCAAACAGTTTTTCCAGATACTCATTATTTCTGTGTGTGTGAGCAGCTCCTCGGAGGAGCATAAGCTCGTCTCTGTCACGTCTGGCTGCGCAGCCATCCTTGGTCCTGGCTGTCACTGGGACAGACAGCAGGAAGGTCACTGGAATATCACATCCACGCTTGAAAATAAATGTCCCTGCCTTATTGCAGCTCTCTGCTCGCAGGAATGTGTTGGTTTATCTCCTGCAGGCAACCACAGCCCAGGGACGGGTCCTGTGCCGCTGACGTTGTCGCCTCAGAATATATTAAAGGTTTCACCCCTGTTTTCAGTCTTGGCTCCTTGCTGGAGCCCATACACCTGTCGGCACCCTTTTATCTTTCCCAGATAAGGCTGAGGCTAAACGAAGCAAATGAGTTTACTGTAATGCAAATTTGAGGGGGCTTCCTGTTTACAAGGAAATAGCTATAGTGCCGGCAGAATAAATTCCAAGGCTGCAGGCCAAGACTTAGCAGCAAATAAACTACGAGGGTGAAGAGTTTATTGGCCGTGGGGCTGATTATTGCTGAGTTTACGTGAATTATCCTCAGACTGGTTTTGTCCCGAAATCGTTAAATATCAGTTTGGGAAAGAAGGACAGAAAACACTAATGGGCCCTGAGTGCTTAAGGAAGAGGCTTAGTGTGTTTTTATTTTTTTTAAGCACCAAAACAAAACAACCCTTTTTCCATCCTCTGTCATCTGCTTTTCCTTCCCTTCTGCGTTTCCTCCTTTCGTTCCTAAGAGCCTTGCCAAGAGCTGGGAGAGCTGTGGTATCTTTTTGTTGTACATTGTTTCCTAAAAGCCTGTTTTGGGGAGATTTGCATTGGTGAGCAGAAGGTATGTCAAGAGGCAGAATATCCTGCAGAAATCAGGCCTGGAATGGAAGGAAGATGTCCATGTGGAAATATGAGCAAATATGAAACCTTAAATTTTTTCTGCCGAATTGCTGTCAAAAATTGTAAGTGTTGGATGGAAAGGAGTAAATTAACTGCACTCTGAATTTTTTAGGCTATTTATTAGACTGCTGAGGTTTTTCAGTTTTCCATGTAAATGTTACATTTCCCTTATTTTGGTGAAAGGGAGCAGAAGAGCACTGTAGAACAGCTCTTTTTATTTACCAGCAGCTTGTTCTGATTTGAGTAAAGGATTTGCATAATGTGAAGCTGAGAAAAATGGTCCAAGAAATCAGGTAACAAATGAGAGAGGGTTCAGGGCTTGCAGAAGCCTTGAGTACATGCTGCTGTCCTCGCCAGGAAAGTTGACATTAAAGCTTTCTTACTATAAACATCACGTAAGCTTCGGGTGCTTTCGGTGTACAAATACCACGGGCATGGTAACAAAACACAGCATCCATCTGTCCAGGCTTCTCTCCCCGCGGCTGTAGATGTTTCTCCTCTCATATCTCTTTTTCTAACGTGCTTCCAGTAATTACCTCTGTTTCAAGTTAATTTTAATTTTGATTTTTCTCTCAACCTTTTTTCCTTGGTCTCCTGTGTTCCTCTGAATCCTGCCCTTCTAGGGGAAAAAAGGAGCGTGTTGCAGTTACTTCCTTCTTGAGAATCGTGCTTATAATGAGACATTTTTTTCAGATATCATCCCATCCTCACTTCACCTGCAGAGGTGAAGACTGACCCCTGGTACCCATCTGCTTCTTGCTGGGGCAGTTGATGTGCCCTTTGCTTTCTTACCCAGTATTCAGACTAACTTGTTTAAAACTCTGATTGAGGTTTGTTGAACACACAGAGGTTGATTTTCCTTTCCAGTTTTATTCTGAGCTGTTTGTGATTTCTTTTCTTCCTCTTATGGTGCTGAATGTTGTTGAAACGCAAGTGACGTTTCCCGCTCGGGGTTAAGCATCATTGCTCTGTCCTCTTTTGCTTCTGGTTTTACAGTTCTGATCTCTTGGCCTTCCTCTGCTCTTTCTCTGAATTTCAGTTCTTTCTTTGAAGTGTCCTTCAGTGAATTCTTGTACCTCTTGAAACTTCTATAAATCTCTGAGTCCCAGGCTTACACTCCCCTGTCTCTGCTGTCAGTCTGGGTGACTTTCGTGGTGTTTTCTCTGGCGTTGTTTAACGCCTCTGTTGTGTTTATTCATTTACAGCGCTGTCTCTGGGAAAATTTTCCTGACAATTGCTTGTGTAATTTTCATCTTTGTTGCTATTACGCCCATGTCAGCCCTCTCAGTCTTTCTAGGTGCTTCTTTGTGTCGCTGCAAGAAAACCGTTCAGTTTTGGGCTTCTGCAGGTGGCATTTAACTCCCTGAATGGCTCTAGCTCAGTGTCATGGCATTAAAAAGTCCCGTGTCTGCCTGGTGCTGCGGCTGTCCGTCCTTCCTGCCTGCTTTAGTCTGTGCTGGTCGTGTCCATCAGGTCTGCAAAACTCCTCCCCTGAGGCCCTCATTAAAACACTCTTTTGTCATGAAGCTGATGAAGTTTGGCTGTGATTAATCTGCCGTGCTGTGTGTGCTGGTGCAGTGTTTGTGTGTTTACAGGCGATGTTTCCTGCCCGTCTCCCTCTGTCCCTCTGTGTTCCCTTGTCTCTACCCGGAGTGCCCGTCTGTGCCATCAGTCCGTGGGTGGCACAGTGGGGTCCAACAGGGTCTCATCAGTGACATTTGTACCAAACCTCCCTCTTTATAAGCAGGTTGTTTAGGGAATGGAATGGCTTCAGGAAGCCTTGTAAGATCCCATCTGGAGTACTGCCTCCAGCTCTGGGATCCCATCACAGGAAGGATATGGACCTGTTGGAGCAGGTCCAGAGCAGGCCGCCAAGATGATCAGAGGAATGGGGCAGCTTTGCTATGAGAAAAGGCTGAGGGAATTGGGATTATTCAGCCTGGAGAAGAGAAGCTTTGGGGTGACCT